GGGGGGGCAAGAAATCAATACACAGTTCTTTGTTTTTGCTTTCTGGTCTAAGAATATAACCATGTTTAGGCTAGGTTGCCTAGATGCTTAGGGGCAGCATATTTCACTCTGCCACACATCCACTATCCCGACTTCATAGCCCTTGGCCCAGAAAACTAACCAGACAGTGAGGTTCTGCAATAGCAATAATATTAATCAATGTTAATATTAATTGTTTACCATGTTAGTGCTATTATATATGCTTTACATATATTAATTTATTTTCTCTTTAAAACTAACATTATTAGGAAAATGTTACTACTGGCATTATACACAGATGAAAAAACTGGCAAAGAAAAAATGAGAAACTTGCTCTTTATTACTTTTCTAGCCAATTTCAGAGCCAAGATTCAAGTCCCAGTAGTCTTGATTCAGCTCAATTGCACACACCCACTACTGTACTGCCTCCCACTTACATTCTCCATAGTACTAACATTCTTGAAAATACAAGTGCAATTCTAGATGTGCTATTCTTCCCTCGGTGATGACATGTCCTTAAGGGTTTTGTAGAAAAAAAGATATATAGCTATTTAAACCTTTTTTGAATACTCAGAAATACTTGGAATGTAGTTCACACAGTAAAGGATGTTATTCTTTTCAGCAGATTTTCAATTAAATATTATAGTTGGGGAAAATCAGTGAGGCAGTTCCACTCTGTCCTATAGGAATTTGGTGAGGCAGAATCAACTAGGTATCACTGGATGATTGGATTGGATTTTGCTCTCTATGATCGCGTATGAATGTAATCCTTTGGATTCAATTTTATTTGCAGGGTACTTGGCTTCCTGCATTAAAAATCAATCCTTTGTAAATTGATTATCTTTCCTTATATACTGAGTAAAGGAACTTGAACTTCAAATCAGAAATGTGTGAGTTTCCATTTTGTATGGCAGAGTCAATGGGATACCTTATCTTTCATAACGTTGCTTGTAATGAGTCTCTTTGAGTCTTCTCTTGATCTCCTCAGTATCCTTTTCAGAACAGCCAAACTAAACTTTTTTATAACTTGTGGCACAACCTTGCTTAGAGAATCATTGTATTTTCATTCCAGGCAAAATAAAATCCAAAGATAAAACTTAAGGAGGCCTAGGTGACCTGGGCTCAGACTGCTTTCCACAGCTCAGCTCTCACAGCTCCTTTCCTCCTTCCTGCCTGCTCTGCCAACTGCACGCATGCGCTTGCTCGGCTTCACAAATGAGCTGTAATCCTCCTGCTCAACCTCCCTATTCGGCTTCTGCTTTATTCTCCCTAAAACTTCAGTCTTCTATAAAATCACTCATTAGCATATTTCTTGTGCTTGTCACTTAAACATAATCCCACTGATAACTCTATATAAAATAATCACCACTACCTGCAGCTGAGATTTTTCTCCAGAATGTTTACCATTTCTGATGTTATCTTTAAGTATTACTTTACTATTATATCCTTAATGTCAATAACAGATCCTATCAGATAGTAGGCGCTCAATAAATCTTCCTTAAATGAATGAACAAAAGAATAGTATGAGTTTTTCAACAGCCTTAGGGAAATACTTATAATATTATGATTTTTAAGTGTGTCCATTTAGACTTTTGCCATCATTAATGTTGCTCTTTCCTCCTGGAAGGTCTTAGCCTTTCACTCCACTATGCGGATCAAAATCCTAGCAATCTTTAAAGATCAGTGACCCTGGACAAAACCGCTGGGCTTGAGTTCTACTTTTTCTAGACTCTATTATTTTCTACATAAATATTTTAGGAAATAATTGCTATCCTAAAACCTTATTTTGATTTACCAAATTGATATTTACTTATACTGTATAGACACTGTATAGAGACTATTGAGCATGAACAAGCACTGCTTATGTTTTTCTTCAGCTGGTGGATTAGATAATAGATAATAATTGTGTTTGTGTTAGTCTAGGTTGACTAGAGAAACAAATCCAGAGACACTCATGTGTGTGTAAGAGAGAGCTTTATATTAAAGAGTGATTATATATTAAGAAAACATCCCAGCCTGGTCCACATCAAGTCCATAAGTCCGATATTAGCCTATATGTCTGATACCAGTCTATAAATTCATCTTCAAACTCACGCAACACATGCAATGATGCTGAATGCAGGAAGATCACTGGCCAGT